CTTTCTAGTTTAGTTCATTAGGATGTTGTGGGGTTTGTCCCAATATCCATCTCAGTTTTTTTAGAGGCTTAATAGACAGACAGTCAGTTAGTTATTTCAGTTGTCTTTACTTTTCATTTCTTATGTTAAAGACTTGAGTTTGCCTAAATAGCCAGCTGAATGTTCCTTTATGACATTCTAGTTTCTCCATTAATGTTTATATGATGAGTTAAGTCTTCCGCTGAGTTAGTAAGCCAGACCAAGGGTTCGCTTGGGGCCAGCAATGGTCTTCGAGTGCCAGTCCCGCCCAGGGTGTAGGCTCAGGGCGTGACAAATTAGGACTAAAATGATCACTGTTTTTTATACACTAAGGATCGTTTTGATAACAACAACAACAATAATAACAACAATAACAACATACTCAATGAAATTTGGAAGGTAAAATGTGCGCAAACCTAATTGCCACTAGCTCGTGAAGGTAGAGCGGTTATTTTCAAAGACCCTTGGCTCAAGTGCAACAAATACAAGTAGAAAAAAGGAGATAGTGACGAGAATATATCAAGTAACAAGAAAACAATGCAAAGTCTATCCGAAAGGAGACGAAAACATCAATTATATAATGTGATAATCGAAACACAATGAACAATTTGCTGAAATAGATTATTGAAAACAATAATAAATATTAATGATTAAAAAATACTAAAAAAAACTACAATAATACATCTAGTACCATAACCATGGCAATACCCCAGCCACTAGGCAAGACAACACTACATTACCAACTAACCTTCTATCCGAATATTTGTCCTCTACACCTTCCTATCTAATGTCATGTCCTTGATAACCTGAAGTTTCATCATATCATGTCTTATCAGGGGCGGAGCTACCCATGCCCGAGGGGTGTCAGGGAAACTCCTTTTGCTGGAAAATTACATTATATATAGAGGTCAAATTTTGGTTTAATAAATAAATATACAAGTATTGACATGAGTTAAAGGTTTAGTCTAATAATGAAAGTGCTAAGAAAATTCCTTAAGGTGCATTTTCTAGCCTTGCTAGCCTCTTGAATATAGCCACACTTTAAGTCAAAAATAACTTAAAACATAAAAGAACTTATAGTGGTTTGAATTCCATAAATTATTCCTTGAATTTGAATATATAATAATCTGAACAGCTCTGTAACTCCTTGGTTCTGAGTCTTCAGACACTCAACGAAAATTTTTAACACAATGTAATCTTTTTTTAGTTTTGAACTTATAAAGGTTAATTTGGATTATATGGTTGATATATAATACTCATTTAATAATTAGTTATGTACTCTAATATATTAATTCTCCCGTCTAAATTGCATGCTGATAGATCTCTGCAAATTTAAATAATGTGTTAACAATTCTATGAAGAAGAAGGAAATTTATGCAATATATATAATCAATCTAATATTTTATTTTATTTTTGAAAAATTTAATTTTTTTGGATTCCGTTGATCTAACAACATTTTTAGTCCCTATCAATCAGTCTATCTTAGAATCATTACACATTACGGGTGTATTTGGTTGAAAATATTTTCATCATTCGTAGGTCAAATTATTGTGGAAAACATTTACTTTAGAAAAAATAAATTTGCAAGGACCCCTAAACATAAAATTTAATTTACCTAAAGACCCTTCAAATTATTATTAATAATTTATATTTATTATTAATAATAGTAATATATTTAACAATGATATTCAATTTTTTTTTAAAAATGTTTCGAATGGTCACTTACAGTCTTGGAAGTTGTAAATTTTTCACTTTTACGTGTTCACATCAATACATAATTAAGGAGCCACAATAATTGCTACAGATTCGATACGATTCAATATATAATTTTAGCTCAAATTCTATATTTAAGTTTAAAAAAAATTGTTTAATTTAATTATAAAAAAAAAAATTATTCAAAATCTAGTAAACAAAAAAGTTATAGTTCGAAAACCATAAACTAAATCTGGCTTCGCCTCTACACTTTATCATATAAAAAAGAAAAGCAACACAAAACAAAATAAAATTTATTCTTAATATTAACTAATCATTTTTCAAGTCTATTAAGACTAGACATCAAATATGCACTTCATTTTGTTTTTTCTTAACAATAATTTGTGAACAAGTAAAAATAAAGTGAACCGGAGAAATAGTACGTAAGAAAAGACATACAATTTCATAACATGACAAAATGTTCTACTACAGTTATCGCAGAAAATAGTTTTCTAATTGCATTGTCGGTCTGGTACATTAAGTAAAGTCCTGATTGCATGTTCTGCCAAATAAAGATTAAAAAAAAGTAAGATCTCATTTGTTTGTTCACCAAATAAATTAAACCAAATAATTTTTGAATACTTATTTTTCTTAATATATTCACATATTATTAATATTTAAATATAAATAACAAAAAAGTATTATATGATAACTTAAACATAGGAGTTTATTTAGGATTTTTATTTGATTACCAAAAATAAGAAGGATTCTTTCGCTGCTTTCTTGTCATTATTTTCACCTTGTTCTCCATCAACACCATTAAAGCAATTTGAGACAATCATCAATGGTAACTTTTTAATATTTTTTTCTTTTGAGAATCTAGACTAATTAATCTCATAAAATAATTATTCATAACTTATTAAGTCTTGAATTTTGTTTGAATAGGTGCTTCTATTACTTCAGACTATATTTTCTCTTCTTAGTTCATTCAATCATCAATACAAAAATTAATTGAAAACAAATATACCATCATATGTACTCCAATTTATTTAATTAATACTCAAAATTGATAGTATAAAAAATATTTGAATGTTTTTCCAAAAAATAAAAAGGAAAAGAAAAGGTGAAATATCATTAATCTTTTAAATGTAAAAGGTTAATAATTAAATTTAAAAAAGGGAAAATTCAAACAGTTGTCATTCGCCTCTCTCCCTAGGTTTCTCGCTCGCCACTCTCGGCAGTCTCTCCCTCGCCTCTCTTGCTTTTATACAAACACAAATGTATAAAATGCGTTTGTGTTTGTATAAAGCAAGAGAAAACTGTATATACAAATATGAATACATATATATATATATATATATATATATATTCGTCATATACACTTATAATTATAAAAATACAGATCTTCCCCTGCCCAATTCTCTTTTGCCTTTCTCTCTTTATAAAAACACAAATTATACAAATTACAATGTATAATTTGTGTTGTATTAAGCGAGAGAGAGAGATTTGATATACAAATATTTTATTCGATTCAATTGTATACAAATTCAAATTTTATGTAGATATACAAACACATAAAATTGAATTGAGAGGCTGCCAACGATTTATACAAATGAGAGGCTGCTAGTGATTTATACAAATGGCCTACCAGCGGAATTATACAAATCTGAAGCTCCTGCCAACTAGTTATACAATCTGATGCTCCATAGCAAACATAAAGTTATATGTGAATGTTACTCAATATATAAGTATTACTATAAAAATGATACTCCCTTTGTCCAACAATACTTGTCTGGGTTTGTACACTTCTTAAAAAACTATAAATAAAAGAATAATTTTACTATATTATCTTTTGAATATAATAAATACAATATCTTGAAAAGTGTAATAGAGAAATGACTATAATTAATGACGAGAGTAAATCAAGAACTAAGTATAAAATTATCCAATTTCATAAAGTGGGCAAATATTGCTGGATATCCCAAAATAGTAGAGTGGACATCTATTGTTGAGAGTAATTGAAGAGAAGTTAATTTTATATATATATATATATATATATCTATCATTTTGTATATTCACTTGCAACTTTTGCATGTTGGAGCATTAAAAGAAAATGTCAGCATTCCATGATTTCAGTATTTCTTCTTTTCTGCTTATCTTAGTCCTCTGCTCTCTAGTACAAACCATTGAAGCACAAGGTTACAGTCGTCGTCTTCCTCAACAAGAAAGTAATCTTTCTCATTCTTCGCATATAAAGTTTGAATCTTTACCGAAAAATAAAATCCATGATTATGAGTTGTTGTTGCAACCCCATGATGAAGATTTCACTGTTTCCATTAAAGCTGATAAGATTTTGAAACTGTATACTACTTTTATGGTTTTGCAGAGAATGCTCTGAAAGAAATAGCAGAGCAGTTGGGTAAAAAGGACTGGGATTTTGATGTGAATCCTTGTAATGGCACCACAGATTGGATTACACCAATAACTGACGAGAAATCGAAGTATATCAACAATGTAACCTGCATTTGCTCTACCCCTGATAGTTTCTGTCATGTACAAATCATGTGAGGCTTCTTCCATTGGCTCTTTTTCATTTGCCCCCCAATTTCTTTGATGGTCACTCAACTGAGGATTCTTCTATCATAAAGTCACTCAACTTTCTATTATAACCTTAAAATCACTTTAACTTTTTGATGGTCACTCAACTAAGGTTGTAAGTTACCATCTAGATATTATCTCAATTCTTCATTATGGGTGTTTTTGGTACTTGGAAAATGCTTTCTAAGTCACCTTCAATTTCTTGAAGTATTCTTTTCAAAGAATAGATATTTGGGAAAAAGTTTGAGAAAATGTTAATTTATGTCATCCATTAAACTTTTGGCTTATCTATGCTACTACTGTTTGAGAAAAAGCTTATTCGTACCATTATTTCTTAACTCTGATTTTGCAAAACCATTTTTACCGCAACAAGACTCCAAACAACTTTTAATACTTTTCAATTTAGATTTTAGATTAAATGTACTATTTTTGCTTCTTAATCCTCAAGAAGGGAAGAACATCAACTTCCAAAGTTCAATTCTTACGAAATCACCTCAAATTTCGGTCATGTCATTAATCTTTTTTTTAAAAAGAATAACCAAAATTCTAAAATAATTTGTGGAGTTGAAAAATCCACCTGTATTTAAAAAAAATATTCTAAAAAAGTGGAAATCATTCCCAAAATTCTGAAAATATGTTTTGATTCGTGTTTTTGTTGTTGTTTTTGACCCTAGATCTTTGTTCACTAGTGTTTTTTGAGTCTATGTTCAATATTCACGTGATTTGGAGTTGTGGAGAAAATTCTGCCATTAAAGGATGTTGAAGTTTTGAAACTTTGAGGAAATTTCAAGTGAGTCTTGTTGAGTTAAGTTGAATTTGAGCTCAAAAGATTTTGAGTTTTGGTATCTAGCTCGGAGGGAGACTACTCTTGAAATTTGAGATGATTTCGTGAAAAATTGAAGAAGTCGAAAATTTGATAGTTCTTGATGTTCTTCATACGTTTCTTGATGTTCTTGATAAAGAAGAAGCAAAGAGGATATTTGTTCAAGAATCATAATTGAAAAGTGTTAAAAATTGTTTGGTATCTTATAAACAATGGTTTTGGTAAAACCGGAGTTTTAAAAAAAAGGCATGGATGAGCCTTTTTTCTCAAACGGCAATGACATAAATGAGCCAAACTTTTAACGAATGACATAAATAAGCATTTTCTCAAAGTTCTATTTGAGCCTTTTCACTAGATATTTTTCACCAAAAGGAGATTAATCCAAACTCTTATTCCTAATCAATTGCTTTAACCAACAGTACTTATTCATTATTACTATCAGGAAAACATTGAACACCTGATATGAGTAGCATAACACCTACCTTTATACCCCTGAACATATAACACACCACATATGTTCCTTCCTATATGTCAAAACATTGTTTAATGGCTTATGAGAGCATATCATTGCAATAAAAAATAAGTTTCCTAATGATGAGAATATTGAAACCATTCAGTGTTAGTCATGGGATATGGTTTCTACATGTCTAGATTAAAATTGGCTACATGAAAGTTCAGCTGACTAAGAAATTCCTCAAAAGAAAAGCTAGCTGAATTTCTCTGTCTATTTAATACCTTCATATTTTTGATTAATCAGTGTGTTTGATTTAGTCAATTTTTCTGGAACCAGTCTGATTAGCACATGGTGATCTGAAAATTTTGAACTAATAACAACCTTTGCTTCAGATTTGGATAATGTAAAGCAAACAGGATTTCTTCTAATATCTTCTTATAATGTTAACAGATTACTCAAAGGACAAGATCTTGCAGGTGTTCTCCCTCCCTCCCTGATCAAGTTACCTTATCTCACGAAAATGTACTGTTTAACTGACTTGGATCTATATTTTCAAACTCTTGGGAGTTTTGCCTTTTTTTTTTTATTACCAAATAATCATTTTGATTATCCTTTGCCTGAGATATATATTGTTCAACATCTGTCCTGCAGTGATGTCTCGCGCAACTATTTGAGTGGTACTATTCCCCCTGAATGGGCATCTATCAAACTGGAATATATGTGAGCTGCACTTGAATTGCACTTTATACTTTAGACATTACATACAAAAGGTCCCTTTAATTTAAACTATCCAATAATTCATGGTTTTCAGGTCTGTTATGGTGAATCGACTCTCTGGGCCGATTCCTAAATACTTGGGAAACATGACTACACTACTTTATATGTATGTTCTCTTGGATTTCAGCACACTCATGAGGATAAGTAGTCTTTTTTTTTAACATTTATTGAGATGGACTGCGAAACTTTCAGGAGTTTGGAAAATAACATGTTTGATGGAACTATTCCAAAAGAACTCGGAAACATGGTTAATCTGCAGAATCTGTAAGGCCTTCCTAACTAGCCTCCTTTAGATGAAAAATGAATGGTTTTAGAATATCTTGACCAGTTAGTTGCCTTTTGCTTTGTGCAGCATTCTCAGTTATAATAATCTCACAGGTACGTTGCCCGAGGAAGTCAATAAACTCACAAAATTAACAGAACTGTAAGTACTACTGAATATACTTTCGATATAATGTCCTCTAGGTCCTATTGTTTTTCTGAATTCTCCTTCTTTCCCTTTTGGCATCAATGCAGTAGGCTGAGCGGTAACAACTTCACTGGAATACTTCCTAGTTTTGAGAGTTTGAAAAACCTTCAGAAATTGTGAGCATTCCCACACCATTTAATGCGTAAAACTAGTATTTTCTAGTTAAATTTAAATTAAATCAGACTTCATGCTTGGTTAACAGAGAGATTCAAGCTTCAGGTTTTGAAGGACCTGTACCACCAAGCATTTCTGTCTTGACTGAAATGAAGGAATTGTGAGTTGTTTTCTATGTTGCATACTTTCTTTAGTTGCTTATTATGGTGTCCCCTTTTATTTGGTTGGGATTTTATATTAATATGATGTCTTTACAGAAGAATCAGTGACTTGACTGGAAGTGCGTCAAAATTTCCGCCACTAGAGAACATGACAGGCCTAAATAAATTGTAAGTAATTCTCTTGAATTTGCTTTTATACATTAATGGTTCCATTACTTTCCATAGTTCTCTTTGCTGAAACTAATTTGTGACTGCAGGATGTTGAGGAACTGCAATTTATCTGGGGAGATTCCTTCTTACCTAGCTAATATGACTCAATTGAGTATTCTGTAAGTTTGCCACCTACTTTCACTCTAATTTGTTATCTTTCTCCCTTCCATACACAGCTGTTTTAACAGAATCACGCATGCCATGTTTGTGGGCCTTCTCTTTTGTTGTCGCGAATTCTGCTCAGTGTTTAGACTAGGAAACAGAAGGAGGGGTTATTGAAATTGAGTCTTAATTAAATGTTAACATCCTTGTAGTTCTATTTTCAGAGGATACAGCACTTCTAGAGTAATTAACTCCAACATTTGTGACCCTTTAGTTGCACAGGTTTATGCATGGTTTCTACTATATATATGCTTTCGCTGATTGATTGTATTCTTTCCGTCTAGAAGATCAACGGCAATTTCTTGGCTCACTTGACATTAAAACATGGTTTTGTTAGCATTTAAGCTTCCTCTCATGCCGAAATTCTTTCATTACTTTATCTTTAAAATATTCTTCATGCTATAGGTATTAAGTTGGTAAAGTATTGTTTCTGGATTGAATATGGTTATTGTTTTTGGGGCAGAGATCTAAGCTTCAACAGGCTTGAAGGACAGATCCCGGATCTGGAGCGCCTGGAGAGCTTGTAAGTGACATATGATAGAATTTAAACCTAAGACGTGGATGCCAATGTGCTGAGTCTTCAAACACGTTTATTGCAAAGAAATTTTAGTATCTGACATATTATAGGTTATTAGAGCTTGATTCATTTATTTGAAGTTTTTTTATTCAAATTGATATTAAATCTTTTGCTTCACAAGGTACCTGACAAGCAATAGACTTACTGGACCTATTCAAGATTGGATAAAACAGAGACATCCCAAATAGTAAGTTTTGATAAACATGGTTTTCTTTATTCCAATGAGAATGCTAGATTCTCTTTATCACAAGAACTTGAGATTCTATACACATATCGTATCCCTAAAAGAATTTCTCTTTAGCTTGTTGATTCTGTTATGCACCATTTGCAGTTATATAGATCTGTCTTACAACAACTTCAACGAGAGCTCCGAGCCAACTACTTGTCGGGATACCCTGTATGATCCTTGAACCTTATCAGTTATCAGAAACTCATTTTTTGTTACTGAGGCACCAGCTGTTGTTATCTCTAAGCTACATTTCCTTCTTCTTATCAGAAACTTGTTCAAAAGCTATAACTCAACAAAAAAGTCGTAAGTTATTTAACTTGTCTTATAAGACACTTGATGCATAGTTTTTCTCTTTAGAGAATTATCAACTGGTTCATGCCTTCTGACCCTTCTTTCCAACTTGATGCAGAGACCTTGGGAAATGCGTGTCAAGTCATCCTTGTTCAAAGAGTGAGTTTATCTTTCTACAAGACTCATTCATTTTCTCTCTATCTAAGATTTTGTTTTCATAAATTTCACATATATATATATATATATATACTAGATCTGGGAACGTGCGTTTATCCCAAAATACTTCATATAAATTTTGTATTGCAAATGACATATATCTTTTTTTTAAAAGAATATATATTTGATTATTAAATTGACTAAAAGTGTATAAAGTAAAAATAACTAACTATTGCACAAATTCAATATTCAAATAAGGATACTAAAATACCACATGCTAGGCTAATGTATATGGTAAATTCTCAATAATAATAACAACACAACATTAGAAAATTTGTACAATAACAAGAAACATAAATATTAAACTAAACAAATAAAAGGAGATGAGAGAAGAGAGCATAGACATTTTCTCTTTTTTTTTTTTTGTAATTGGTTTAAGTGTGTACATTATTGTGTCAAATGTCACTATTTATATGATAGTATTGAGAAACACAAAGAGTTGTCATGAATATGAGATTAATCCATTTGAGATTATGGTGAGAGATAGGAGTAAAACCATAATAAATATAATCAGGGAGTATATTTACATAATGAAGAATTAGTGGTAATAAAATGTGTGTGTACTAATATGATGATTTGCTATTTACTATGTAATATTTAATTAATTAAATAATTTATAACATTTAAATGTAATGTATGAGTAAAAATCTAAGGATAAAATATGTAAAAAAAAATAATTAAAAATATTAAATGTGTAATGGAAAATCATTATGATAATTATTAAGAAATTCACAGCAACTATCATTACGAAAAACCATCACTATTAGTACATGAAAGATGTAAAGATTGTAGATTTTTTTCTTGTTTTCTTGCTAATAATAACTTACAATTTAATAATGAGTATTGAATTGTAAGTCTAGCTAGACATAGGAGTGCTAATTACCATAATACGAAGAGTCAAAATTCATGAATCCCAAAATAAATATTAAATAAAAAAACTATTTTAAATAATTTCAAGATAATAAATTAATAGTTAAGGGGTATTTTTGTAATTCTTTGACTTAGATTCTTCCCACTTTTAGTATAACTAATTTATGGACACGTGTCTCATGCTAATTAATATAGACTTCCTAAAATGAAGTATATAATACTCTATTTAAATATGTATATACTGAGCAATTGAACAGTAATTCAGTTGAAAAGTAGATTCAAATGCAACATATATTTGTAATGTAATATTATTCATCTGTCATGTAACAAAATGAGATACATGCTTGGGAGTTATTCTATTTCTTCACGAAGATAGTAACTTTAGGTATGATACTAATAATGTTTTAAAAATAAATATCTATACTAAATTAAAAGTGAGAGGCCACAAAGCATCCAAAAATGACACTAAATGAAACCAATAAAGTTGGATTTAAAATCAGACTCATGAAATATATACATACTTATGAATTTGGTGCAGTAGCTATTCCCAAAGTGATATTTTTTGGAGCAAACTAAAAATATAAAGTGTGTGAAATAAATAAATAAAAAATATTATCTATACACATTATTTCGTAAACACAAGCCATATTTAAGCAGTAAACAGAAACTGAACTTGTTCAAAGGGAAAAAATAGTATTACCTTATGCTAGGCAAAACTCAACAAATAAGAGGGCGATAGTAATAGCTTTTTGTGTAGTCTAACAGATGAGGAGTAAGAATAAAATGATAAAGAAATTTGACAGGGTGGTAACTTTATAAAGTGCAAAGAATATAAAAAGGGTATAGAGTATTTAACTGATTAAAGTTTAAAAGACAAAAGATATAAATGCTGTAATATGAAAAGTTTGATACATTAGTTAAATGATCAGGACAAAGTGGTTATTTTTAATATGATTAGGGATATTTTTGTAATTCAACTTTCAACTATGGAGCTTCCTACTTTTAGTATAACTAGTCTCTGGGCACGCAGAGGCGTATCCAGGATTTCGGCTAGATGGGTGCACGATTACGAAAAAATGTATCTCTAATATAAATTTGATCGATTTGACTTTTAGTTCATAATATGAATCATTAAAGTTTAAAAATTATAGGTCCAAAATATATAATACTACTAGTTTTAAATTTTAATATACACATTTGAATTTAATTAATATAAAAAATGTACAATGCTAAATTTTTTTAGGAATTCTCAATGTAACACACTTGAAAATTTTGAAAGAATAAAGGAAAAAAACAAAAAAAAAATTAGTTGAAACGACAAAAAGTGTAATTGATAACCACTTGAAAAAGTGTTACTCAAAGAGACAAGATAGATATAAGATTTAAATTTCTATCTCTCACTTAGAGAAGTGCACCCAATCATCATCGCATTTTTATATGATACTTTGAACATGGGTTCACACACCTATATTTAAATATTTTAAAAAATATATAATACTACTATATATGATCTAGAGAGGGGAGCATGGGTTCACGTGAACCCACGACACCCCCTCTAGATACGCCTCTGTGGGCACGTGCGTTGCATGTGTGTCCCATGTGTAATGAGTAATAAAATGCAATAATTATAAATTAATCTTTAAAAAATTGATAAGAAAAATCAAATGAGTGACGTATTTTAATTAGTATTTATAATTAAATTTCTTTTAAGGAATCAACAATAAATTTGAAATGTCAGTAATAGTTAGCAAACGT